ATTATGTCTGGACAGCTGGGATTACAGATATTACTGTGTTTATTTTCTAGATAGTGTGCGGCCTGTTTGCCTGCCTAATCCAGGAATGATGTTCGAGCCTAATCAGCAGTGCTGGATATCTGGGTGGGGAGCAGAGTACCAAGGAGGTAAAGAGTGGCTCTGGAATATTTTGGTCTTCTATATAAACCAGTCCTCTTTGGTCTGCGAATAACTGTTGCGTGGGCTGATTGGGCAGTTTGAGCCAGATCTGTTGCTATGTCATTTTTTCACCCATTTTACAGCCCCTAATATTTACACAGGGCATTCTGTCTCAAAGCATTCAGCATGTGTTGCACTCAGCAGACTGCAAAGGAGCCTCAGATCAGTACCGGTGGCCAGAAATATTCAAATTCTTTTCCCTCTGCTAACAGGGCCACCTCTCCTGTGGGAAAGGGCAGGAGCCTGTCCTTTCCACTACCTCAAGCTAAAACAGCATGATGCAAGTAAATTTGTAAGAAGTGAAAAGGGAGGAAAGGTTTGTTTCAGTATGGGAAGGTACTGGGCAGGGAAGGGGAGATGTTGGGGGAGCTGGTTCCTGAGTATGGGATTTGCTGTTAGCTTCTGTTGGACCATGAAACTATGGGGAGATCCTCTTTGCCTCCTGCAGGCTTCATATGCTTTTAGTAGCCTGGTAGATAACGCAGTTGATTTTGGGCTGGAGTAGGCAGGTAGGTGCCACGTGCTCTTGCTTTACAGTACACTGAGAGCAAAGCAGGGTAACTTTCTGACCTCTTGGAAGGGAGTTTTAATGTCACAGTCATCTCTGTGCGATGGACCATACATCTTAAGTGTCCATCCCAATGTTTCTAGTGAAAATTTATTTCATCTTGAACAGTGCTAGCAGCTGGAATTTGTAATAGCAGTGTAATGTGATGCTTGTTTTAATTTTGTCCTTTTATGTGTGTTTTTGTGCATGTTTCAATTTTAGGTAAAACATCAAATAGCTTGAATTATGCTATGGTGCCCTTAATAGAACGTTCTACATGTAATTCTATCTATTTCTATAATGGCATGATTTTGCCTACAATGATCTGTGCTGGGTATCGAGGAGGAGGATATGATTCCTGTCAGGTAATTATTCCTAATTATACACTAATAATGATCTGATTATTTTTGTGGTCTTACTAGTAGGCTTTTTAATTCATCTATTAATTACAAACAGATCCTACTCAAAAAAAAAAAAAAAAAGTAGTAACATTTTGTTGGGCTTCTAGGTTCCTTTTGTGCTGCATCCCTTCAAAAGGGAGAGCTTTTGTTTCATCTTCTGAATGGCTGCCAGAGCTGAGTTCTGGCTAAATACCCAAAGAGCATGAGGCAGTCCTTTCTAATGCCTCAAGGATGCTTTATTATCTGCTGCTTGAAAGTGAACAAATGCTCTTCATAATCATGGCAATACCCTGGCATTATGCTTCTGAACAAGGAAGTCGGTAATGCTTATCTCATTTAATGCTTTGGGCAAACGATTTTCATCACTGTTGCAAGCAGTCATCATTTAATACTATAATTGCCATCACGTTTTGTTTCCAGTGACTGCCTTAAACTGGTGGTTAGCTTTTTTTGAAACTTAACCTGTTTTGCTGAAGTGAAATGGATTGTATCTTTCCTGGTAGCCAGGTCACTAATAATATGCTTGTATTTTGTGCAGGGTGACAGCGGAGGCCCCCTAGTAACTAACAAAAGCTCCCTGTGGTGGCTGGTTGGAGATACCAGCTGGGGATCTGGCTGTGCTACTCCCTTTAGACCTGGAGTGTATGGGAATATGACTGTGTTCACAGATTGGATTTATAAAAATATGCAGGTAAAATATTTGGGTGTTTTTAATAATTTTAAATGTCCCAAATACTGAAACCTGATTTTATTTATAAAAATAAATAAAAGTGACTTGTCTGCTAATTAAGCTCTTCTGTTGAGAAGCATCCAAGTAATTGATAAGACAGTCTGTCATCAGAACTTGAACCTTTGTTTTTTGTTTTGTTTTTTAAACAGGCAAACAGATGACAACGCTGTCTGTCCTTGCTGATTGATGTTTCTGAGAACAAGAATAAATGAAGCATTGGGTGTCTGGGATATTTATTCACTTTGCAAATGATTTTTGTTTTTTTCTCTTTGAATTTTCTTTTTAAAAACAACATGAAGGATTGCACACTCTGTTCTGTGCTGGCTGCAGTGACTGATCTTAATCAGTGAAGGATTATCACAATGAGTACCTTTCTTGTGGTGCCTGGCAGAAAGTCAGTCTGTCAACTGCTTGCTGAAATGTCTCTCTTTAGTTGAGTAACTTTGACTTGATAATCAGGTACAGGTTTATAATGGCAATTTTAATCACAATTTAATTTAAGATTTTTGTAGCAGGATGCTGAGATGCTTGTTTTAGTAGTGTTTTAAATTAAATGTTAAGTAATGTGAATGTTAATCTCTGAGCTGCTGGTTGGCAATTTAAAAATAAGTGAATGTTTTTTGGTATATATGAAGGGAAATTTTCATGCACTACAGCAGAGGCACAGAAAAAATACTGTATATTCAGGTAGTTAAAAATCCTCAGGATCTTGACACAGCAGTCATCCAAGTTAGGTTGTTTGGGGTGAGACTGGTCTGATTGTCTCAGTAATTAAAAGTGGTGTTCTGCCTAAAGCTGCTCTGAACCCAAAAAGGGCAACACCTGCCATCACGTTAGATGTAGGCTGCAGAGAGGGATGCTCTGAAGATATAACAAGAAGCAGTGACTAAGTGTCCCAATGGCGAGGTCCCCGGCTGTGCACATCGAGGGTGACTCCTGAACCCTCTCTGCTGTGAAAGGCAAAGTTTTTCAGTAAGGCTGTGTTGCAACCGATAGACCTCTGATTGCAGACACATGTACAGAGGCTGGATGTTTTATACAAAGAAACACAAATCTATGTAAATCTATGTTTCTGCATAACCAGATGAACTACCTCATTTATTAAATTTGGCTTTTAATTCCTTAGAGCTCTCCTTTATATATCTGCATGTATGTTTTTATCAAAATGTAATTAATATCAGAGTGCCACCTCAACTAGGATTTTGAAAATAATTTATAATCACAGTACGGAGGATCAAAAAGCCATACCAAGTCATTTTTGTTAAGAAGGATAAATCTTTTGAATGAAATGATGCTACTAGTCTTGTTTTCTCTTTTGGTACTGAAATGCAATTATCTTCCATGTAAACACTGCGCCAAATAAATATTTTTTTTTTTTACAAATAATTTTGTTTAGTAGTGGTTTATATCTGTTTGCTTGGATTTTTTTGGAAGCAGTTGCTGAATTCAGTGTCTGAAGTGCTTTGAGAATATGATTTTTTTAAAAAAGCAAAAGTAAAACAACACAAGAGGGTGATCCAAGAGATTGTTTTAATTCCAATATTTCAGGTCCTTGAACAAACCCAGGGATTTTTTTAATGTTGGATGTCTTTAGTAGCTGGGTCTGATGAAATCACTTTGACTTGTGAAATTGAATTAAATAAGGAAGTTTAGCCTGAAGGTAGTGGGTCAAGGGAGTCGCTTCCTATTTTGTTACTACATCTTATGCTGCCTGAAGCAATGTGTGCCTGCTTCTCTTTTCTCTGAGATAGGATGTTTTCAGTAGCACATAAGCATCAAGTGTGCTTTGGGGGATACCATGAAGTAGTCAACAAGTTTAAAGTACTTTCAAAATAGAAATTAAACAAATTAAGTTGTTATGGTATCAGTCTTTTTTATGGCTTCTAACCTGCAGCATTGCAAGTCAATAGTAGCAAAGCAGTATACTGAAACGTGGAAAACTGGCTGTAGTGCTAAACAGAGTTAAGAAAGCTGCATGCTGTACTGAGGTGAATGCCGTTCCACAGAAGTTGGCCATCTGCTGCTGCAGTTTCCTGTCGAACCCTTTCTATCATTTCTAGCCTGAAGAGAAGGCTTCTCTTGTAAGCATCTTGGAAATTACTACATGGCACACTGGTACAAGCACTTTTTTTTTTCAGCTGAATGAAGACATTACTCTTGCTACACAAAACATAGCTTTGTCTATTAAAGTAAATCCTCCATATGAAAGATACCATGAATATACACTGTGCAGTATTATATTTTGCACTGGTTTCCATGAAATGAAAAAGCTTTTGGAAAAGGTTCTCATTGCTCTGGGAAGGGGAAAGAGAAAGGCAGCAAGCTGCATGTTGAGACGCCCTTCCAATTTTTAACATCCTGGGTGGTTTAATCCCTTTTGGACATCCAAATCCTGCCATCTATTGAATTGCCCATCAGTCCCAAAATTTCAGGCGATGCTCCAGGCATTCAGAAGAGTGAACCTCTTAGCTCTCTCTACAAATTGGAGAACTGAAAAAGGAGAAACAGAGCCAATGGTATCCTGTAGATGTACCGGTCAGATAAAGTTAACTTTCTTTTCCCTCTAAGCTGGAACTGTTTCATGCCCACTGTGTGCACCTTCTCTAACTACTGGGCTGGGACTTAACAGTGGCAACACCTTGGAGAGTCATCTTCAGGCAATAGCAGGAAAGGCAACAACCACAGTGAGGCAAAAACACAAAGGGAAGTGGGGAATTGCTGGGGTTGTGCAGTAAACTTTATCTAGGAAAGTTTGATAATTTGATTTCTACCGTTTGTAAGTTATACAGCTGAAAACCCTTATAATTGGGGAAAAAAAACCCACCAAAAAACCAACCCTCAGAGCTTTTGTTTTTTAATTACTATTTCAAACATTTGCTTTATGAACTCTGTACAATCATTAAAAACAGGATAACATTTATTTAGTCACAACTCCCCTAGTGGAGCACTTTACATAAGGGTAGATGTTTGCACGTAACTGGTTATGGAAAATAAAGCAGAACTGAACATTGGGAATGAGTGTTAAAGGGCTGTGCTGACTTTGCATTTTTAGGGGATTTTATGAAGTTCTTCAATAATGCTAAAAAACAAGAGTAAAAAAAATACTTATGGAAAATGCAGAAATCTACAGTGAGCTGAATTCTCTCAGGTACTGGCAGGCTTTGTTGAGACGATCCACTCGTTGACTGAGGTAGCTCCTATGTTTAGCAGCTTCACTGTCTTCCTGAAGGAGATGGCTTAAATTGTCTTTCTCTTGCAAAAGATGCAACATTGTGGTCTGTAAGTTATCCCCGAAGTCATGAAGGGCAGAAGACAGGATGATCAGAGGTATCTGATTGGAGAGTCGTCTACATGCCCCCTGCAAGAAGGGGAAAAAAAGGCAGAAGACTTGTTTCCCAAAAAGAAGAAAAAAAGCAAGAGGCTATAGGTAATCCAGTAAGAAGTGTCAGCACATTTTAAAAATACTGTATTGAGTTACTATTCAAGAAGTTAAGTGCTTCCAGGACCTAAAAAATGTTGGCCATTAGTCTCTTTTGTGCCTAAAAAGCTAAAAATTAAGAGTTATGGGAATGTCAGCTGTTGCTTTTTTTTCCCCTCAGTGAACGAACCCCAAGGCAGGCTGTTCCCTGCTGATGTCTGCCAGCTATCATTGGTAAGAGTTATACGAGGACATGCCTGACAAACACTACTTGTTAACAATTTATAGTGTCAAACCTGTCTTTTCTGAACACTACCAATCCATTATGGTACGGGAAATCAAAGTGATTTTTTCAAAGATGGTAAATTCCTGTATTTAGATGGTATTTCTGACGTGGTTGTCCTTTTAAGCCTCAGACACCTTTGCAGTAAACTTTAGCCGTAAGAGAAGATCTCATCAGCAATAGTGAGACTAGGCTGTGCCTACGTTACATCTATTGATACCTCAGTGAGATAATTTTCTCCTTAACCTGACAAATCAACTGGTCTAGTTATCTGTGCAAATTGAAACAGATTGACTCGTGAGGCGCTTTCCCCAGAGGTATCCACAGGGCTTGGGAGCTTAGCTGGTGCTCTTGGGTAACGGGAGGTTCAAAACCTCCCCAACGCTGGGAGAGAGCTGTCTCCAGCCCTCCTGGTGCCGGGTGAGCACTTATGCCTGAGTGACTGGCTGCAATTGAAACAGGTGCCATCTTGCTTTCTTTTTGTAGCACCTGACTTGAAAATGTCAGTGGGAGGACCAGGTAGAGGCACATTTTATTTGTAGGTCCTATAGGGTTTAGGCAGCTTGTTTCCACAGAAGTCTAAGGTATTTCTGGCTTTAGATACCTCTGGAGCTCAGTGGTTGCAAATCTTTCATGTACAAGGATGGTGTTGAGCTCAAGCTGAAAAATACCTAAGACTAGAAGTTTATTTTTTTTCTCTAGTTTGCAGAGACCTAGTCAATAGCAAGCAATCGGGGTGAGTCAGCTAAATCACATACCAAGCCTATGTGTTCTCTAGGTACTACTGACCACGGAGGGTGGGAACCTAGGTGCTTTAAATATCGGTGTTTTTCTGGAGCCAAACTCTGCACAGAATCTTGACAGTCCTCCCATAGGTGACACAGATTTATGCATGTCATTTTCAAAGGCCATGGACTCTTAAGAGCTTCCATCTGATTCAAAGTGTATTTGGCCTTGCATAAGCCCCATGAAGATATGATACCCTGGCATTTCTTATTGTTGAAAAAGATGGTTAGGGCATTTACAAAAATGTGTAACTAGCATCTAAGATGTATATGTTATAGTAGAGAGTATAGCAGCAGGAGGAGGGAAGCTTATGCAGTTCTGCCTTTGACTCTTACTCTCTGAAAGCTGTTGGTTTTCTCTCCATCAGACTAAGCAGCCTGAACGTTTAACTGCAGGAATTTGTCAAAACCTTGCTACTGAAATTCAAGGTGAGCTGCTTCCTATGTTACTGCATTATTAATATTTGCCTTGTTGCTTTCTGAGGGAGTTTTACGAAACAAAGATAAAAAGCAAATCCTGATACTGTGTGTTCTCTGTGCTGTCTTTCTTTAACATGATCTTTTGTTAAAACATCCCATTTGTCCTCAGAACTTGACTTCTATGGAGCTATCTGCAGTGCAGCATATGCACTCTGATCTCTATAGATAGCCGAATCCATTTTAACTTAACGTTTTATTTGTTGCTCCTCCTGCCGCATTAGTTTAGGATCTGACTACAAGCCACTGACACCGCTTTCTGCTGCCAGCAGGAGTATGCAGAGGGGCTTGAGGCTGACCTGAGCTCTCAGATGCTGTGCCAAACACAGAAGTGCTTGTCCCCACAGGGAAGCCAGCAAGAGAGTATTGTATTGGCGTGGGGCTGTGTAGGCAGTGGGGAGTCACCCCCTTCTCCATGAAAGCTGGAGGAGGGTGAGAAGAGGACTCACTTGCCAATGGCGTATTCCCTGAGCGAGCAGCAGCCACAGCAGGGACCCATGCCAGGCTGGGGGGGTAGCTGACAAGTGGTTTAGGAGCCAGTTCTCCTTTTATCAGCCTACAGGCTTTTCTAATCACTGTATCTATCCCTCAGTGCACAACTGCCTCTCCCCAGTGACTGTGCTGGCACAGCCCATCAGACCGGCTTTGTCCTGGCATTTTCATCACTGGTCAGAAGCTCTGATTAATTAATACAGAAGCTGTGTGTGTACCTGGACAAGACACTTATACCCTCTGGCTACTGTTCCCTGCGTGGTAATAGTATTGCATGAAAGACTCATGTTGACTATAGCAAGATCTGGCCAAGGGGTGTATGCTATAGCATTCAGGGTGTAGTTGTCTGTAAACTCACATTGAAATATGCCTTCGTGAGAGAAACCATTTCCTGGACTAAGCTGGGCTCTTGATTTGAAACAGGTCCAGCCACCAACTCTTTCCAATTTTCAGCTTTGGTAGTGTTTTCTGCAGTAACAGCGTTTAAATCGTTAATGTAAAGGTCATCCTGGCAGTATACAATTCTCTCCATTTTAAACTGGATCCGGATGCGTTTTTCAGCCTCTGCTGCTTGTTTCTCTCTAATGTCTTCAATTCTGATCTAGGAAAGAAAAGAAAAACAAGTTCTCAGGCATTTTCTTCCTTTGCAAAGGTGCCAGTGCTTAGCAGTGTCCCCAGGGAACGGCAAGGTGGGCACAGTGTTCAATAGTCCTTGCTGCAGCACTGTCTAATCCCAGGCCGGCTCTTGGGAACATGGAGCAATGCTTTAGATTCTGGTTCCTCTGTTGTGAAAGAGCATGAAAATGTCGGGCGGTTCTGTCCCCTCCTTACACATGAGTGGGATCAGTCAGAACCTGGTGCTTGGACTCCAAAGGAAAATACAAAGTTGATGGGAACTAGCAGCAATGGCCAAGCAAGAGTTCAGCCTGCAGCCTGTCCCTTAAAATGCTTAGAGATTCTAGGAAAGCATCCCATCTTTTTTCTCATCTTCAGTGTCTACCGGAACTTCCTTCCTCTTCATTCCTCTCAGTGTTGTGCCTAAAGACCCTCCCTAAACACCTCTATGTTTGGCTAAAATAGCTTAATTACTTGCTGTTTGGTTGGCCTGGGAGCTTAGTAGAGTTTTGCCATGCAAGTCAAGTAGCAAACCATCTGTTTCACTCACATTTGCCTTTGAGTTTCCTATTTAAGCATTACCCTGTGAATGGCCTCTGCTTCCTGACTGTCCAGCATTGCTTCTCATCTCTTCCTCAAAGCTCTCTCTGAGAAAGGCCTTCAATGACATCCATATCATTTAACTCCACCGCAAAACATGAAATCTTCCAAACAGTTATGTTCTAAATCTTTCACAGTTGAATGGTTTTTGGCTTATCTGCTGCTGCTCCCTTTTATCAAAGATGAGGTTCCTGCACTGGCTGATATCCTGGCTTGCCTTTCAGAGAGGGAAAAGCACTGTTTAGCAGTCTGAGGCTACCCACATGCTCACAAATAATTTCAGGACTTAAATTTGAAATTAATTATAAACTCTTCAAGGCAGCCATACCAGGTTTCCTTTGCATTGTGTTGTATGCATCAAGAATGTGACCAGAATGAATGAGGGAATGTATGTTTTGGGTCTTCTCAAAGTTGTACTGAAAGGCAAGATGCACTTTCATTAGTGCCATTATAAACATGGTATAATTTTCAAGCTCGTCTTTATTTTATAAAAACCGTAGGCCTGCAAGAAATTCCTTGCTTGCATAAGGGGTAACGCAGTGGGACAGGTGCTGTAAGCATGGCTATATTTACAAATGCCATTCTGTCTTGCACTTTTCTTATCTCAGGTTATAGGTAGTCTCACCTTAGCAGCTCTGTTTAGATTGTGATAATTAGCAAAATTCCTTTTAGCGAGTTCCATAAATCTCTCCACAACCAGTCCTAAGGGAAGAACAGACAGACAAACTAGTCAGGTAAGCAAGTGAGGTTTTTAAGCTATTGTTAATACGAGACTTGGGAAAACTACTCGTTTTCTGTATTCATCCAGAAACAGTTGAGCAGCTGTACTGATGCACTATGCCTTTGTGACCAATACAAACAAGCAGAAAGTTAGATTTCTAGGTCCACGAGTGTGAGCCATTAAAGACCTCCTGTAACCACCACACACCTGAGAGATGGAATATCACTGAGATTTCTTTGATAAAGCAATTTCTGTGCTTACAGCTGTGTCTGACCAGACGTGCCATCGCTTGGCCAAATGAGCACATCTGCATCTCACCCCCTGAGTGGCCTCCCCAGGAAGAGGGGCTAGTGCATATAGTACAGAGTACTGAGTCTGGTACAGACACCGTAGCTGCCTTCCAAAACAAACATAGCAGAGAAGGGATCGTGACATACTTTTTCCTTGGGTGCTTTTTAATGGATGAACTATGTACCCTTTCCCCCAGCCCCAGCAGTGATGGTATAATACATACAATGTCATGCAAAGAAGCGACAAAGAAGCTGGGTTCCCAGTTCAGGTTTGGGAACACCACTCCCCGGGCTTGGGAATACCAAGCTGCTTGGCTGGCACCAGGTACTTCTCCTATACTATTTCTTTACTGTGTTATTTATTACAGTTACTTTCTATCTCCCTTCCACCAGCCACTAGGAAAAATATTAACAAATGCTGGAGACCATGTGTAGTGACTGGAGGCTCTAGAGAAGAAGCAAGCTCTCAGGTTGAATCAGATTCACTTCCCCACTCTGAAGTATCCTGGCTGGAGCTCTTGCTCCACCAGTGAAAACATTGGCTTATCCTGGAAAAAAATTGTCAGGCACATCAGTGTCTCCCACACAACAGCCTCATGTGGCCTGCAAGACGTACCGATCACATTGTTCAGTATCTCAATGGCTGGCTCCTCCAGTCCTATGATTTGCTCTTTTATAATGTCCTCAAATGTCCTGTAATTGGTAAAGCCTGGAAACTCCCGTCCACGACACTGGTCTTCATATTTCCACACTTTACTGGGTACATTGTTTTTAACTGTAATATTAAAATAACATTGCTTTACTACTAAATAACCCAATTTATATACTTCAGATTTAAGAAGGAAGTCTATTTCTCCTCTTTGAAATGCTCTTGAGAAAAACAACTACTGAGATGATCTTTCAAGCAATACTGTCACTACAGAGATGAGGTAACACACGTTATTGCTCAATGAAGGAGCCATCTCACACATTGGATCAAGCATTTAACTGACAGAAAGCAATCCAGAAATTATGATGAGGCTCGAAAGTACTGGTTCATCTTGGAATTGCCACCCTCACAGGACTGGCCATCACCAGTCTCTTCTGAGTTTTAAAAACTCAGAACAAAACAAAACCCCAAACTCACTGAACAGTCTTATTCCAGGGAACCTACTGTTGACTAGCTGTTTTTATTTAAGATATCACAGTAAATATTTATTTGTTGACATAATACAAATTTCCCATCTTAAATGAGGTATATCCCTTTGAATTGGTTTACATATTTGGGCAAAGATGTATTTCTAAGTATTTTGAAAGGTTTTGATATTGCCCTGTTTTAGGGTCAAATTTGTGAATCATGGATCAAGTGCATACGTGGAAGTAGAAGTCAAGCCAGGAATGCATTCAATTCCATGGTTGGATGATAACAAAAAAAGAAAAAAAAAAAAAAAAGACAGGAGTAGATGTGGATTGTCTGGTTTAGAGTCTGAAAACGCACCTGTACAGTTAAGGTAGTACAAAGCTGCAATGTGGCCACAAGAACATCTATCAGCTTTGCAACAGAAAGTTCCAGGCTTCAAGTATCCAAAGTATCTCCGGTTTTTAATACTTTAATTCACCATAAAAAAGCTAAAGTTAAACAGAATCATCTGACATGCAACAATATACCTTCAGAAATCGTAGTGGTTGCTGATAACAATGTTTTCCATTGAGGAAGGGCTCTCTAAAGCTACCTCTAGTTCTCTAGCTATGTAAGTGAACTTACTCTGCTGCACATGTAAATACTTCACCTGAGCATATGTCCACATGATTTTGGGGCAGCAAGAGCTGTGCTGTTTTAAGAGCTGCAGTGTGCTGCTACCCTGATCCTCTTGTGAAGTCGGACGTATTAGTTTAAGTCAATGACGATAACCTGAAAGTGCCTAGAGGATTCCCCACTGTGGTTCAACTGCCATATGATGCCTCACGTATCTCCTGCAACTCAGTTGTTCTTTGAAGAAGCTGTATCCTTCTACTAGTGCTTTCTGCCATTTTTACATCAATTTCTTTATGTCTTCATTGTTTCACTCTTTTATTCCTCTTCATAAAATCATGTTGATTGGCTAGGTACTTCATGGATGGGACATAAGAGACATTGACATGCACCAAAGTATGACTGTCTGTCTCTCTTCACATATATGCATATATATACATATATTTGTCTCTGGCTGATGGCACCTTTGCAGCCTGTTTGTACCTATAGAGTCACTAGTGATGTTGACATAGATGTGCATCAAAGACTAAAAGAACTTGCTTCAAGAGCTACTGCTTGCCTAGCAGCTGGTGTTATTTCATCTCTAAGAGCAAATGACGGGGTCTCTGAAAGATGTGAAAAAGATGCTGCAAAAGAAGTTGAGTGTACAGCAGAGTTCAGTGTCTGTGTGTCACCCTATGTCTCCGTTTAGAACTGAGTTCAGTTAAGCAATGAGCAAAGTGGATGATGCACAGAAAGGGGTACTCTTTACAAGGTTGTGGTTATTTCAGGCTCAGAATTGCTTTCTCCATACCTTAAACCTGAGCTAAAGTAGAACAAAAAAGACCAATATTCCAAAACATTAATACTACTACTACTAAACAAAAATAATTAATTATAACAAAAATTTCCAGGTTATTTTAATATTATTATTATTACTACTATTACTATTAATTAATAGATGTTGGTGTTGGTTTTGTTGCTGTTATTTAGAAGAATGGTTCAGAGAATCACCAACCAATTCTGTGCCAGGGTCCGAAATCTTGATTCTCTTGCTTTGCTGGGAGAAGAGAGACATCCAGTGATATGTCCGTAATGACAGCATTTAACACATGCTGGGTTTTTCTCCCCAAGGACCAAAGCATAACTTGCCTAACACTACAACAAATTAATGCTCCTAGCTTGTTGTTTTTCACTTTCTTGAAAACAGCCTCTTAATAATGCTGTGTCTTGATTTAAAAGCAAGGGAATGGAATCTCAGGTCAGCTGTAAGTGTTGGTTTTCTCTGCTTACCTTTTGCACTACAGTCTAGGAGAATCGCTCCCCAGCTCCGAAACTCTCTGCGTATTTTTGCAAACAGTTTGATTTCATTTCCAAACAACTGTTCCTCTCCACGGATTATCTGAGCGATGTCTTGATTAAAGAGTTTGATCAACTGTAATGAATTAAAAAAAAAAGCAAGTTTCATTTATTCAGACTAAATTGCATATGTTAAGTAAATTTGCAGTCTTTCAATATTAAAGCAAAGACATGGCTCATTGAAAACACCCATTCCTTACATCTTTAATGCTGTTAGCTCCTGTGGGTTTTTTTTTTTTTTTTTTTTTTTTTCCAAAACCAGGACAGCTAGGGGAGAACAAACTTGATACTCTTTTTGTTTGCTCGCTTTGGTTTGTTTTTTCTTTTGTTTTCCTGGGGACTCTTAGAACTGTTTGCTAAATTCTAATTGACCAGACTTGTATGAAGTCTTTGAAGGCTGATAAGCCCTCATAAACACCTCTGCTGGCCTGCCAAAAGCTTACTGTGAGGGACTGGCTCCCCAAGGTGAGACACAAAGATGGACTTGCAAACCATATTTTGATATCAGGAATGCATTTGATCTTATGAGTGCTGTAAACAATGGAAACCCTTCAAAATGTCAGGCAGGCAGGAATGTAAGTTTTCCCTCTCTGAGATGCTTGATTTTGACCAATCAACTGAGTTGTCACATAATCACAGGATAAAAGACTGCTAGAAGGGGCCACCAGCTCCTGTAGTCCATTATTTTTGCAGATATAATTTTTGCTGGAGGTTTGTCTGTGTTTCTCTCAAAACACTCCAGTGACAGATACCACAAGTTTACCCTGGTGACCCATACAGACAGTTTGCTAACTTTAGGTGGTTTCTTTTTCTCGCACGTTTACCTCCCGGTTCTGCCCTGTGATCAAACCAATATTGATACTTACATCTGTGAGGTAAAACAGCTTCTCAGACTCTGTGCTGGGTGTGCCTCTTGTATATTTTTGTAGATCGTGTAATGTTTTTTGGAGCACCTCACGTATTTGGTTCTCTAGTGTTGGCAAAGTTTTCTGGGGGGTAGACAGTAAGGAAGGACATTTAAGTAGGTTGAACATGTCTGGTTTTAAAAGGAAAACAAAATCCTTCTAAGAGTGATCTACACCTGCACATGATCTTTGATCCTCCTAGGAGTCCAAGAGCTCGCTGTCCTTCCATCCCAGGTGTGATAGTGGGACAGCACAGAAGTGCAAATATGGTCTTCATTGAGAGAAAGCAGGGGGCTAGGATGTCCCTGAGAGATCAGGCTGGAACTCACTGTGAAGTGGGCAGAGTAGTTGCAGACTATGGCAACATTTCACCTGCAATGAACCAAAAGCTATGTCCTCACAGACTGTGCCAGGGAGGTGGCGATGTGGGGAATGTACTGACCTCTCCAATCCTGATAAATACCCAATTGAACACCACTGTTTAGTTGCTTATTTTATCTAAGGTTACATAAATGCATTTTTTTTTCCCTTCAGGACTGAATTTAAAGGTTCCCTATGTTTTAGCATTTTCCTTTAATGGAATAAGATATATTACTTACAGATATGTGTATATAAAATTCAAATGCCAGTATATTAGTGTAGTAATAGAATAAAACAATCAGATCTTACTACAGATTTTGAAGACATTTACTGTTAAACAGAAATTATTGTGTTTTAGTAAGCTCATAGCAGTAACTTGTCACCGAGCCAATCAACACACTTCACAAACAAAAATAAATATCATGGCTGCCACTGAAAAGGCAGGAGTTATGAGTCACAGTTAGCTAAAAAGATTTGCCTGTTGTCAACCATCATCTTAAAGGCAAATCTGAGGACAGAGCATGGGTTTCTTTAACTCTCAGTTCAATTTGTTCTCAGATTGATGGACTGAAGAATGATTAAGTACTATCCATGCATATAAAGATGCAAACCAATTGCAATCAGTTGCAATCCAAGGTTGAAGGGCTGAACTCAAGTTTTAGTTACAAACCAGCTTAGTATAGCACCTCTGTTACTTACAATAATTTGTCTCACAAGTTCATTTGTAAGCTTCTCTGCCAGCTGAGGGATAGTAGCTCTTCCTTCTTCCATAAGAATGCTGCAAAAAAGAGGAAAATGTGGTTTTGGACAGACTGCGAGTGCAGGGCAAGGAGGCAGCACTGATGTGCTTCTGTTTTCACCATCTCCACTGCACAAATTGAGTAAAAAAAAGGGCCCTCTGGGGAGTGCTAGCACAGATGCAGCAGTAGTCCAGGACTCTCTAGGCACGATGGCTTTTATGCAAGAGTTGTTTGACAGCTAAGTCAGTTTGGCTAAGCAAAGGCAAACAGAGAAGAATCTGAAAATAGCAACAGCAGATGAATGTGCTGCTGTATTACTTCTGCATGTGTGAAGTACACTGATTCAAAACCCTTTTCACCTGCCATTGTCTATATTATGATTGATTGGAGTCATCTTCTGGGTAAACCTGTGCCCTCCTTTCTCATACTAAGTTTCACTGTGTTTTCCAGTGAATGGAAAATACTTCAGTGCTTGCCTTGAAGTCCTCAGATGCTTAACTTGAATTCTTTGGGAATATTCTGAACTCCTGAAGTTAATTGAACTTCTCCCAGGGTTAAGGAGAGATATACATTTGAAAAGTTTACTGGACATGTAAAATTTTTCTGGCTTACTGGCAAGCAACTATGCATGGGCAATGAGAAATAGCGAATATAATTAATACCTGTTTCTAACTCTAATTTATATCTCAGCAAGTCAACAGGAAGCTTTGAAGTGACTTTAATATGTTTTTGATTAGGTCCTTTCTGCAAGAAGTACCTGAAATGTTTGTGAGTCTCAAAGAATTTTCTCTCCTGCTGGATTGCAGTGGCTAAGGCCAATTTGTTCTGGATGTCTTGCTGCCCACGACACTTCACGATCATGTAACCCTTTTTGAGAGGGATGACCTGGTTTTGTATTATTTTAATGATAGACTCCTCTGTTCCTCTGTCCACCAGGTCGGGTTTCGTGAGGATCCCTGTGAAGTTACCCAAAGAGAAAGTTAGTTGAGCGCAGAAGTTAAAGATAGGAAAGGTCCAGTCAGACACCCCAGAACCAGAGC